ATAACTGCCTACCACGATTCAGAACTTACATATACATTTACATTGTATAATTAATCATCCATAGATTCAGTTATCTCTCAAACCTTACTCTTTTCTAAAACATTATTCCGTCTTAATTGAAAAGTAAAAAATACAACCATAGTGATAGCAACACAAATTGATGATGACCATTGATGGATATACGCCAAAATCTTGCAACATCTGTATCACTAAAGGTATTGTTGAACTCACAGTAAAACCAACCTCAAGTTCTTCCAACAACTGGCAACAGTCCCGTTACTATGACGCTACCTGCTTTAGTAAGTAACCCAAAAAATTTGTTCAGGAGAGCATCTTACTTAAACCTCCTATTTTAGGAACTTTAGTAGGAACAAATTGAAACTGAAAATACTCAAAAAATTAGCGCTTTTTGAAACACGTAGTACAGTTTGGCAAACCTAAAAACGTTTCAGAATTTTCACCTTGGGAAAAGCAGCATTGCGAATTAGTTTTCAACAATTTATGCAAAAAACCATGCAGGGCACTCGACTTATTTTAGACATGGAATGTACATAAACTGTAGGACGAAGTATTGATAGGCAGAAATTACGAGAAGAGTTGCGCACAAACTCATCAGTCTCGTCTGGCGATATAGGCACATCGGCCTTAATTCCTCATTATGAAACCACCTTTCGACAGCAACTTTATACTCCCCAACACCACATCTAAACGACACTCGACTACAGCTCAAAAACAGCACCAAAAATTTGCATGTCGAACATGTCTGGATGATACATTGAATAACTGCGCCTAATACAGAGCGTTTTTGAACAAGCATTGGCTACCATGATATTAATATTCATGAGTAAAAGCTTTATCAATCCAACGGCTCTTTGAAAGCTCCTTGTTAGATTCTCATTCCCTGTGATTCTGTGGACTTCAAAAGTGCAACTCTCTCAAGGTTATTTAAAAATTTAATGCCGTTTTTACAAATAATTTTAGTCAATGACGATATTGAATAAAATATCAGCAAAAATCAAAATTTTGAAAAAAAAATTAAGATTAAAACCTTCTCGAATGACTTTTACATTGTCCTCACGAATTTAAAAATACAGTTTTTTCCTTAAAACTCCTACAAGATTGAAATCAGAGCGCTGTGATGGTCAATTAAGAATCCAGATTATGCTTTCCCTCAGCCGTCTGGTATAAACGGCTGAAAAGTGCTTCGGGATGCTACCCTGCTGTAGAACACGGTTTTTAAAAAATACTTCCAGTGTATGTGGTACGAGAAAGAAAGTCGCAAACTTATTTGAATCCAAAGTTCTCCCGACAGGACGCACTGGCCCTAGACAGTGCTAGTTCATGCCTTTCCAAATCATAACTGATTCCCCTCGACTCGTTAAGTGCAATTACAATTGAAACTCTCATCTGCCTTCTTTAACAAAAATCCCCCAATCGATATCCTTCAAAATAAGTACAAGCACAAAGGTGAAAGACACTTTTTTCGAGTCGACATTTGTCCATTGAATATGATCCCCACTGACTTGCAATTAAAATTGCTGGTTATTACTTGAAATGAACAGATCCTTTCGTGCGACCTTACTGTAAAAACCGAACTCAGAGAAGCACATTTGTTCTCTCCTCAATGTTTTTTTTTTTTTTTTTTTTT